AGTCAAGCAGGGAAAATGGAATGCTTTTCCTGTAGGATCTCACATGATGCAAGAATGCTCTCACCCCTTCTATTCAATCAATACTGGCTGTCCTAGCCAGAGCAGTGAAATAGCAGAAGAAATAAAACTCATCCAAATCAGAAAGAAAGAAGTAAAATTATATTTGTTTATAGATGAAATGATCTTCTGTGTAGAAAATCACAAAGAGTCAACCAAAATACTACTGGAACTAAGTAACATATTCAGTGGATTTGCACAATACAGTATCAGCACCAAAAATTAGTTGTATTCCCATACTTTAACAATAAAAAATTTTAAAATTTTTAAACACTTCCATTTGCTGGAGAATGTAAAGTAAGAAATACTTAGAAATAAACTTAAAAAGCTCAGAAGTTCGTACCTTGAAATCTACAAAAATTGATAAAAATGATTAAAAACAGAGCTACAACCCATATTGATGTTTTGGAAAAATATTGTTAAATGATTATATAACCCAATGTGATTTAGATTCAACACAATACCCATAAAAATCCCTATCAGTTTTTTTTTAAAAGAAAGAGAAAACAGGCTGGGAAAATGGCTCACGTCTGTTGGCCAGGTTGATCTCAAATTCCTGACCTCAAGTGATATACCTCCCTTGGCCTCACAAAATGCTGAGATTACAGGCAGGAGCCAGTGCTCAGCCCAATCCTTTTAACATAAACACTTTAATTTCAATTAATGCTTGAACTCAATGTTAAATCAACTCAACTAAATGCTGAATTGACTCTAATGTTAATTAATGCTTAACGGTTTGCTCTACTCATTGCATTTGGAACAACTACCTCCAAAATGAATGTTCTGATGTTCTTCAAGGAGTGAACTCAGACTGAAGACCTTGGCACATTGATGACATTTGTAAGATTTCTGTCCAGTATGCATTCTCTGATGCCTAATGACGTGTGAACGTGAAGTAAAGGCTTTGCCACAATCATCACACTTGTGAGGTTTCTCTCCTATGTTTCGCATAGAATGAAACTTGACTGAAGACCTTGCCACAATCATGACATTTGTAAGGTTTCTCTCCAGCATGAGTTCACCAATGAACTGCAAGGTATGAATGATGTCTGAAAACTCTCCCAAATTTATTACACTAGTATGATCTCTCTTCATTATGGATTCTCCAATGATTCACAATGGTTGTAGCATTACTGAAGACTTTGTGACAATCATTACATCAGTAAAGTTTCCCTACAACATGAATTGCCTGATGGTAAACAAGTGTTGACTGCCCACTAAAGACTCTGTCACACTCGTTACACTCG